CTTATTTTCTTTTCTTTTTTTTAAAAAAAAAGCAAGAAGAAGAATGATGATGATGATGATGATGATAATAATGGTTGTGGAGAGATGCTGCTAGTTAGTGTTATTGTTAGTGTTATTGTTATTGTTATTGTCGTGCGCTGCTTTGGTTGGATTCATGGCTGCGGGGGGGGGGGAAGGAGGGGGCGGGGTATTATTATTATTATAGAGTGTGTGTATATATATACCTATACATGTATGTGTATATATATGTATATATATGTATATATGTATCTAGGTGGATAGGTGAGTAGGTAAGTAGGTGAGTAGGTGAGTAAACAGAGGAGTGAATGGGTGAGTGAATGGTTGAGTAAGTGAGTGAGTGATAACGACCAATTGGACTGACTGTCCCTATGTACTTCGCTTCGTCCGTATGTACACCATGGCAGGACGGACGTGTGGTTGGGTATTGGCTTTGCTTTGCGTTATGGTCTTTTCGACTTCTTATCTATATGACTTGCCTTTTGTAAGGGTATCCATCTGTCTGCTTGAGCCCTCTCTTGCGTCGTCGTTGAGGAGTCCACGCAGGAAAATATGAGTATGGTAGTCTTTCGTGTGTTTTTCTTTCGTACCCTACTCTCTCTACTCTACGCTATGTATCACCATATATAAATACGCCCTTGCCGGCCCGGAACCCGCCCAGCGTGCCTTGCACGGCGTCCTTCAGCACGCTCTCCTCGGTGGCCCAATTCCACTGTAGCTCCTGCACGGGTATATCCCTGAATTTGCCCTCCCTCGTCAGACTCAAGATCTCCTCCACCGTCTCCTTCTTCGCCGCGGGGTTCGCGTTGCTCCACCTGCTGACCCAGTACCCGCTGAACTTGACGTCCTTGAATATCAGGGCCCCAGTCGGTAGCAGCACCGGCTGCTTCGACATGGCCCCGTACGTGACCAAGTGGCCCGAGTCGCTCAGGCACTTGACGAGCGCCGCCGTCGGCTTGCCTCCTACGCAGTTGAGACCCAACCTGACTCTCTCGCCAGAAGTCCACTCCTTCACCTGCTCCGTGAAGCTTTTACTCATGAGTTCCGCCTCCGTAACGACATGCGTGCCACCTAGCGATAGCAGCTCGTCCTTCATGGCCTGCGTCGCGACTGCGTCGGGACGCTCTCGGATCACGTTTATGCTGCGCAACCCCCACTCCCGGCCCAGCTGGATCGCGGCCCTACCGACGCCGCTGTTCGCCCCGTTCTGCACGAACCAGTTGCCAGGGCGCAGCGTCTCAAAGTCTCGCAGCATGCGGTACGCCGTGCATGGGTTCACGCTCACGGTGCCGACTTGGATTGGGCTGAGCCCGGCCTTATCCTCTATCTTGATGACGTCCTTTTCCGTGGCGAGGGCGTGTGTGCGCCAGGTGCCGAAGTTGGTCGAGGACATTATCACCCAATCGCCTTTCTGGAGGGGGGAGGATTTCGAGAGGGAGGACCCGACGGCTTGGACTTCGAAACAGCCTTCGTTGCCAGCGACGGCAGAGGGCGAGGAGGTGCCTAGCATGGAGGTGAAGGGCGGTTTAGAGGGGTAGACGCCTTGAACCTGGTTTATATCTGCGGGGTTGATGGGAGTTGCGAGGGTGCGGAGGAGGAGGGCGTTGGGTGGGAGGGAGGGCGAGATGGAGTGGGTGTGTAGTCTACGCAGAGATGATTGTTAGCCATTGACTTTTATAATACTGTATTGACAATGATAGAAGGAATTGAGGAAGAGGAAGACGAAATGGAAGTGGGAATGGAAATGGAAATGGAAATGAAAAGAGGAGTTTACGAGAGCACATCAGACGGCTCCCCGTATTTCGAGTACACGAGGGCTTTGGCTTGTGTATATCCATACGGACCGGACTTCCACCTCCGGCACGTCGATGGCACGTTGTTCGACGGCACCAATGCGCGCCGTAGACCTGGAGCCAAGCCGCAGCTTGCCCGTAATATTCGTGGTGTCGACATGGCGCGCAATGTGGGATGGCGGATGGGAGAGAAGTGAAGATATATTATATATTCAGGGAGCTTGTTTGAGCTATGACGTTCGCGTTGGCAGTTGAGGCCGGCAGGGGGCCGGTTTACTTAATGCCCAAGCAGTAGCATGCAGCATGCACGTTGGCCCTGCATGTTTTGAACTCCGTGGACGGTGGAGAACGTTGTGAGGATTGGGTGATGTTCGCAAGGGACTGGGACAGGGACTGCTGAAGTCCGGGGAAGACGACTTCGCACGAGGACTACCTAGGTACTTAACGTGACGCAGAAATACAAATAACTCTTTCGTCTTCATATCCTGAGAGGACAGGATGTGTGATGGTATGGTGTAGAGTTGAATAGACTAAAATCAGTTGAGATACCATCTGGCTCTTGAAATCTGGTACACCTAACTGAGGGAAGGTTGAGGTGCAGATGTTCTCAGTTCGTGCTCGGTACAGTAGCAAATAACTTAGATATTGTGAAGCCATCCAGAACATACAACCAGGCAATCATTACAGAATACGCCTGGCAAGAGGCGACCTACCCAGTATTCGATATCGAAACACCAAAAAGGAGCGGTATTGCTGCTCACTATCGAGCCGGGTATCTCGGTTTTCGGTCTCTGTCTCGTTCCCCCTCCCCCTCTCAACATCGAATCGTAAGCCATACCAGCATTCAGTTACGTGTCAACAATCCAGCCATGGTGACGTAGCAGTATCCAACCAGCAGTATCACCTCTCTCTACTTGATATTCTTGAACATGTCCTCCCCCAGACTGCCTCCATCATCCCTCGTCATCAACTCTGGCAGCTTCGGCGGCGGGGGTCCCTTTCTCGTCACCGGGGCCGACTGAGGCTGCAAAATCGTCTTCTCGTCTTCGTATATGGCTGGCTGACGCTGCATACTCGTCTTCTTGTCTTCATAGATCACACTCGTCCTCCGACTCGACCCTCCCAACCGTTTGAACCAGCTCCCGCTCTTCTTCTTCGCCAGACTCGGCCGCTGGCTCGCGAAGCTCATCGCGCTCTCAGGGCGCTTTATGCTCACCAGATCCTCATGCGATGCGTTCGAGTCGTCCATACCGTCAGCGTAATTGGCGTTGAGCTCCTTACGTGGCAGGAAGCGGCGGACGCTGCCCGGCTTCGTCGACGCCGGGCTCATGGGCGGCGTCTCTATGTTATAGTTTGTTTGCCTGCGTCCATCGTACATGCCGTCGCCGCTATCTTTGTGCGTGTCTGGCGAGGATTGGCCGTTCGTCGTCATGGAGGTTAAGGACCCCGGCGCTGGTAAGGTGGTGGCGGCGGCAGTTTCTTTTGACACAGGAACATGCTGAGGCTGCTCTTCGATGGGCGAGTCCGGGGGAGGAGGGATGTCGGTGCCATCTGTGAGGGAGAAGTTCAGGGGCTTGAGCTGTGGGAGCTCGAATCGCCCTGGGAGCTTGCCGTTGGCCGGCATATTTTGTATGGGGGGGTTTTTTTTTTGCGGTGGGAAGCGTATCGAGCGGTGTCTTAGTCTCGAAGGCACCTTCAAATTCGCAGCGCGCCGAGTGTTCGCACTCCCGCTGCAGAAAGATCGAAAGGGAGGAGATAGAAGACGCAATTCGTGGTGCCGGCAGAGTAGCAAATCGTGCTGCAGAGTATCTGGGGGGGGGGGGTGAGGTTCTTGGCTCGTGCCGGTGCCTCTTTGGAAAGTTGTCAAGTTATTTCAATAAATAATAATTGTACCAGGGAAGCAAGCAAAGGTGCCGGGTTGATAAGGTATGAAATTATTCTCGTGCGGATGTTGAGGGTCAAGACGAAATGCAATTGAGGGACTGCAGAGGTAGGACAACAACAGTATGTATATAGGAAGTCGGTAGAGAAGGACGGGATACGGCGAAAATTGTTTGCGGAGGAAGATCTCTGCTGCTGGAGCTCGGCCTAATTTGTTTTCTGGGGCGTCTTCCAATCAGAGTCTCTCCCAGCAAACACCAACGAGCAAACGCAAGGAGGTGGATTGCTGGACCGTGGAGGGTCGACTCCGGCTCATCGATAGGGGGTGGGTGGGCCTGATAACTTTCTGAGCTGTCTCCGCACATACATCTATTTATAACAAAGTACAAAGTACAAAGTATAATCGATCATTGCTCTTGATATACCGGTACCGTATATATGGCATTTCAATATGCGTATCATCTAATTGTATATCATTTAGAATGGCCGGTACCTCTCGTCCTATCCAATCAGCCAGCAACACTCAGCTATACAGCCTCTGGGCAAAGGTACACATATATACCGGTACATAATATCTGTAATCTATCCATGCCATGCTGCCTGTGAAAGGAAGGCCATGCCAACTTATGTTTAGAATCCAGTTGACTTGACTCTCCCTCTAATCTCGAGTTATATTCCCTCGTACCCCCCGCATCAACGCCCTCCAGAGGACTCCAGAGGAAGGATCAGTATTACTGGGAGCTATCGATGACAGAAGTATTTGTCATTAAAACTGGCGACATGTAATCAGATACCGCAGCAGCAAATCAGTACGAAAATGCGCACGGTGTGAGTACAATAGAAGATTTGAAACAAACGAGGAAATGGTCCAAGATCGCGCAAAGGTTCGGAGCAAGGTTCTGCAGCGGAAGCGGTGGCTAGACGATGAGTAGAACGAACTGCTGGCGAGGCACAATGTGAGAGATAGATACTTGGGCTGAACTCAATTCGAAAATTCGGATGAGGCGTTCAATTACAAAGTTATTATTACAATCCTGAAGGAGTTCCGCTACCAAAATAGGAATCACAACATATTTTGAGATGGAGAGGAGCAAGCTCCTCGAGGAAGAAAACAATACTAGAAGTACGTAGTCAGCTGACTTCGCGACTCCTCGCCTCACCTCTGCTAAGCGATTGAAAAAGAAGTGAGAAAGAAATCGCTTACTCTGTGAAGCTAACTACCGGCAACTTGAACTTCAACCGGGCTTCGGGGCGGTGGTTCAGCGGCTTGCATGGTTGAACTACCGCCCCATTCACCGGTTGGCGACAAGCCGGAACCTCACAATAGTAACGTCGCAACGTTGTGGGGTTCCGGCCCGAACGACTCACTATCGTAGTTCGGGAAACTCATTAGGTTGAGTTTGTAAGCTGGAACCTTGTAACATCCCGTTGTTACGAGCTTCCAGCTGAGTTTTGGCGTTTGATATACCGGTATCACGCAATACTAGGTACGGCTGACCCCGGTCTGGCCTCGATATCAGTCGTCATGCGACTTTAGCGCAGCCATGTATTACGTTGGCCACGGCGGTTTGACTCTCTTTCTGGCTTCCTTTCCTTGGACGAAAGAATCCCCTCTCACTGCGATCCATCCTATCTGCAGGGGAAGGGCGCAGATGATAGTAGCTTTTGCTGCACCACTTTGAATTGCTTTCTGGGTCTGTCTTGTATGTAACTCCTTAGCTTAGCACGTCGCCGTACCCCATGAGAGGTCCCAGGGCGGCAGGCTTCGCCTGCTACCCGCCCGACGTAAATAGATACAACAACAACAACAACAACAATACAATACTAGGTACTCACCCGCGCGGTTTGACGAGGTTACGAACGAGGTGGAGGAAGGAAGATGAAAAGAATATTATTCAACACCAATCCCAGCATTCTATCAAGAGTGCAACAGCGCTTCTCGCAAACTCTCCCCTTCACAAACCAACATCGGG